GTTGGCTCGAGGCAGAACCTTTGTTCCATAAATGCCTTCGGCACAAATCTGTCCATGGATCTTCTGGAAAATTTTCCTTTCAAACACTGCCAGATCTGTTTCACCTGCTTGCATACAGGAAATGCGATGGAAAGGGACTGGAGTAAGTAAAGCATATGATTGCGCCCTGTATTTTAGCTGCCATGAAACGAGATGTGAATTTGGCTGCGGATTTATGATTAATAGGATAATAAAAGACCTCGTCTCCAGATTCACTCCAGTAGATGAGCGAATTGCTATAATCCGTATAAAAGCGAAGTTCTTCTATATCAGTCTTATTTGCGCCCATGCTTCACGGAAGACAAAGATTCACAGACCAAAGACATTTTTTACAACCGTATATAAACTGCATATGACCGCATTAAAAAATATTTTAGGTCCCACCGTCGGAAAATTCAGCCTCCATTTACATCCGACAACGGCATGAGGTTTTTTTTGACTTCGCGGCAGCAAAAAACATGGTAATTAGCAGCACCAGATTCAAGCATCTCGATATACACAAGGTCACCTGGATTTCGCTTGCTCAAGCCACGAGAAATCAAATTGGCCATGTTTTGATAGACGGAAGGCATTCGGCCAGTGTTTTAGACGTTCGATCGATACAAGGAACGAATATCGATTCGGACCATTACCTTGTGACAGCCGAGGTTCGCACCCGTCTTAATGTAGCAGTAAAGGTGCGATCTAATGTAACATGGAGACTCGACGTCGAAAAGCAGCACACACAACAAGTAGCAGAGGCCTACACCGCTCAACTTGCCCACCTGCTTGACGAACGCACTTTTTAACTCGTTAATAGTATAGAAGCACAATGGCAAAGAAACCACTATCAAGAAACCCATGGTACGATCAGGAGTGTCGTAGTACTACTGATGTGAAAAACGCAGCGTATAGGGCAACCCTGCAGACAGTAACCACACATAATGCGATGGAGATTTGTCGGAAGAAAAGGAGAAATGTATTTTCAGAAAGCAGAAAGAAGAAGAAAAGCGTGAGCATGAGCAAATCGAGATGTAGAGGAGTGAGAATGAAGTCCGGAAATTTTACCAACGAGTAAAACACCAAACCGAAGGCTTTGGCGCAGGCACATCCTCCTTTAGAGATGAAGGTGGAAGGTGACAGATACAACGTGTTGAGGATCTGGAAGGAGCATTGAAAAGCTTCTGATATAAAATAAAGGCGGTGAAAAAGATACCCCAGAAGCAATAGTGTATACCACCTAGCCAAGATGAGGTCAGAGTAGCAATTAATCGGCTGAAGAACAATAAAACAGCAGGTGCCGATGGCTTACCAGCCGAACTATTCAACTATAGAGGAATAATTCTCCCTCCCATCACATATAAAGTGCTATCCAGCGTACTGTGTGAACGACTGAAGCCAATGGTCAATGACATTATTGGACCATTACAATGTGGCTTGAGGCCTGGCAAACCCACCATTGACCAGATTTTCACTCTGCGCCAGATCCGGAAAAACCCACGAAAAACACATCGACAAAGTCTACATATGATACCTATATGAGGTGGGGAGTCCAAAATAATTTTTTGTCTAAGATGTAAACAAGGCGTGGAATTTTTTAAACGAGTATTGAGTAACTATCCTTTAAGGACACGTGACCGTTTGCTTCTGCAATAGCAGAACATAAATTACCCATATTTATGTCTTATCTACACTATCTAAACTTAGCTGATAGGGGACTGAGAGAGAGGGAGAGAACACTGTGTTTACCGGTTAACTCTAACAATGTTTATCTTTACGTCAATTTACTGACCAACAACTTTGATAACATTTTACAAAGTTAGCATGATTTGAATAATATATTGCAACAGAGAGCGATAGAGAGAGCGGGAGAGAGAGCTTGAAACTATTTTCTCTTTAATCGAATATTGGAAATAGTAAATTTCACACCTCCTCGACTAAGGGTGTTATAAATAATAACTCATATTTTTATTTGTAGAAAAAATTAACAAAAATGGGAAGAATAGTAAAAAAGTTATAAATTAAGATGTCCGGCAGATTTTAAGAAATCCGCAAAGTGGCAAGAATATCTTTTCAAAACATTTTGAAAAGATACTTCTTTACTCTTCGCATCAACGAGAGTAAAAAGCCAGAGTATGCCAGTCATGATAATGAACAACGCTATCGGGGATTTTGTTTTTGGTTGTTGTTTATGAACAATAGTTAAAGTTTTTAATAAAAAAATGAAATATTCACACAAAACTCTAGCACAGAATTCATAAAAGTTCAGTTGCTGCTAGAAGTTTGAGCGTGTCGGACGGTTGGACAATTTTTGAAATTCGAAGATTTTGACGTTGAAACCGAAGAAAAAAACAAGTGTGGTGACTTTTAAAGGTAAATGAATTGAAAAAAAAAAATTAAATCAAATGCCGGTTTCTGAAAGAATGGTTGTTTGTAACCCAGAAAAAGAAAATGAAAAGAAAACAGAAATAAAAAAACAAGATTATCAAAGAAGCTGTGAAATGATTAGCTGAAGATCAATAGAAAACAAAAATGATAAACGACAAAATCCCGAATAAAACAAGAGTGAAAGTTTTAACACATTATGAAATAACTTGAATGGATTTTTTTTTTTAATTTGAATTAAAAAACATGTGTTTTTGGTTTAGATAATTGATTTGCAGTTGTGGACAATTAAATTGTAATTGAGTTTTTTTCTCAATTCGATTCTATTTCAATTGATCATCGAATCAAACAGAATGAAAGAACGAAACCTTGAATCATAGCAACAACAAAAACATCAGCAACAATAATGGCAATTAAATGCTATTTTAATAGTTACAATTAGTTTCGTTGTTTTTTGTATTTTTTTTCAAAAAAAAAAAAAAAAACTGCATACATCAACTAAATGATTGATAAAATTAATTGAAAACAAAAATCATTAATAATTAGTCAGAACTTCAACATTTCATGTTGATGGCTTTGTTTGTGTGCGTGTGTTTTTTTTTTTGTGAAATGAAAAAAATCCCCCAGTGGACGGATCGGCTATTTTGAATGTCTCTTCTTTAAAAATTTACAAACATTCAAAAAACGTAACGATCGACAGTCAGCCATCCAGCTAATCCGATAGCCACAACAGAGAACCATAGCACATGTCGTTAGGGTTTTATGACTCGGTATGACGTCACGTGTCGAATGACTTGGCGGTATTTGGTTTTTTCTTTCTTTCTTTAGCTTTAATGTTGTGAGTTAACGACAACACTCACTGGGCCTTTTTTTCTGATAACATTAACACGATTTTGGCAAAAGGCAATCCTCCCTTTTTGCCCCTCCACAACTTCAAAACCAGTAAGGAAACTAGTAAAGTCGGACGGGGCCGACTATATGATACCCTTCATCACATTAGGTACCTACATACAAGAGATGATAATGCTAGAAAAAACATAGCATCTTTGAATGACCATTTACATGGAATCGGGTAAAAAAAACAAATGTGATCTACATAGGTATTTGAACCAATAAAATGTGTATGGTTGGTTTGTCATTCGGAAATCTATAGAAAAAAATTCCATGTCAATCGGGCAGACTTGAATTTTTGTTGTAACATTTGCATGAAATCCGACAAAATGTTATATGGTAGATATATGTAGATCTGAACTGATTTCAACAACAAACTTCACACACATCAAACTGGACTTAATTCAGTATGCCGTGCAAAGTGTTGTCTCAATCGGACAAATAGTGGGAGCTTGGTGCACCATTTACCTAAAATCGGTCGAAAATATATATGGGAACTATATCTAAATCTGAACCGATTTCAAGAAAAACTTCATAGATGTTAAACTGGACTAAATTCGGTACGCTGTGCAAAATTTTGTCTAAATCGGACTAATATTGCGAATTTGGTGCACCATTTACCTAAAATCGGACGAAACTATATATAGGAGCTATATCTAAATCTGGACCGATTTCAACAAAACTTGGCATATATCAATTTAGACCTAATGCAATACTCTGTGCGAAATTTTGTCTCAATCGGACCAATATTGGGAGTTTGGTGCACCATTTACCTGAAATCGGACGAAACTATATATGGGAGCTATATCTAAATCTGAATCGATTTCAACAAAAATTCGCATACATAAATATGGACCTATGTCAGTACACTGTGCAAAATTTTGTCTCAATCGGACCAATATTGATAGTGTGCTGCTCCATTTACATAAAATCGTACGAAAATATATATGGGAGCTATATCTAAATCTGAACCGATTTCATCAAAACTTGACATATTTCAATCTAGACCCAATTCAATACTCTGTGCTAAATTTTGTCTCAATCGGACCAATATTGGCAGTTTGTTGCACCATTTATATAAAATCGGACGAAAATATATATGGGAGCTATATCTAAATTTGAACCGATTTCAACGAAAATTCGCATACATAAATATGGAACTAAATCAGTACACTGTGCAAAATTTTGTGCCAATCGGCCTAAATTTTACTCGTTGGTGCTCTATTTACATAAAATCGGTCGAAAATATATATGGGAGCTATATCTAAATCTGAACCGATTTTCACGAAACTTAGCACACATTATTCTAGCCTTAATTCAGTACGCTATGGCTAGACCTAATTCAGTACGCTATACCAAATTTCGTGCAAATCGAAAGACATATAGGGACTTTGGTGCACCATTTACCTAAAATCGGGCGAAACTATATAGGGAGCTATATCTAAATCTGAACCGATTTTCTCCAAATTCAATAGGGTTCGTCCTTCGGCCAAATAAATGAGATCTGCCAAATTTCATCCCATTCGAAGCATTTATGATGTTTACAATTTAACATGGACAGACCGACGGACATGCGATTTAAAAAGTGATTCTATCCATATTTTCAAAAGGAACCATGGGTCTTTCTCGATTCCTTTTGCTACAGTGTGGTGAAGAAATTTTTGCTAAAGAGTTTTTTTTTATAGAAAAATTGTCTTCAGCCCTAGTTGATGTGGCGTTTTCTATAGAAGAATAGTCCTCAGCTCTAAAGAGAATTCTTGTTCTTAGCTTTGGTGTATGAGAAAATGTTCAGCTTGAGTTATGCGCCAAATTTGCCATAACTTTCAGAAAAAAAATAATTCGTTGCTAAGTTCATTGACCCGTTTTGTCTGGTAGCAGAGACAAAACTTACGAATAACGAACGCAAAGTACAATGAAAATGTGCGCGAAGTTATTGCACAGTTCATGTAAATTAACAACAATTAAAGAAGTGTGATGTCAAAGATTACATTTCAATATGGCGTATGGAAGTGAGAAATTGAGAGAATCTTCTCTCTCATCATATTTTTTGAGAGTTTTCTCCAGAAACAAATTCTTTGTTGATATCTGGTCAAGTATTTTCCCAGACACCCCACATAGTCTGGAGGTTTCTAGTTCGGAGATTAAAGGGGTTAAAGTAAAGTATCGATAATCCATTATCAGTAGCAGATGATATTAAAAAAAATAAGGAAATGTTCTAGCAAATAATATTTGACAAAAAAAAAATAGAAAAATTATCGAACAATTAAACCAACCTTCCATAAAAACACAATAATTGTCTAAAAACAAAAGCAAAAACAATTATAATAAAAAAACGGCAAATCATAAAACATTTCAAATCTCGGTAATCAAATAAGTTGTTAAGAACAACAAAAAAAAATGGTTATCAAGCTGTGAACACGTTAACGCCAACCCAACAAGGTGACAATAATTATTTTTATCAAAAAAAAAATTAGAAAAAAACTACTAAAAAATAAATTAAATAAATAATACAAAATCATAACAACAATTATTCCGTAAGTAAAACAAATAATAATTTCACAACTGAAATGCAAAAACAAATTATTTAACTACGCGTGCTGCTTTTGCTTTTTATAAGTGTGCCACAATCAAATCAACCGGCCGCGCAGCATGCAAGCCATCAACCCATTCCTCGTCGATCTATCCATCCAGCCGTCGTGAATTATAGCAGAATGGAACAATGAGACCTTCAGAGAGAAGAATAAAAAAACCAACAACAAAGATTACTATTAGAATTGAAATAAAAACAAAATTGTGTTTGTTTTTTGCTTTTTTAATTTCGAGCTTTCCATCTATTTCACTAGATTTCGAAATAAACATCCCAATCGGTTGTCGTAGTTGTAAACTTTTATCTCAACTAAAATAATAAAAAACAAAACAGAAACTTTAGTATGGTGGATTGATAAGACTTGGAAGAGTGATATAAAGTGTTCGAAAGAGTGAGAGAGTATAAATGAAATGAAAAAAAATATTTCCAGAAAAAAAAATTGATAGCCACAGCTGAGGAGGAGGAAAGAAATTCCTCAGCCAAAACTGAGGACTACCTTTCTATAGAAAAAATTCCACAAAAAATTCTATAGAAAAAATTCCTCCGTATAGCTGAGGACTATTCTTCTATAGATTAAAATTCCTCTGTATAACTGAGGAGGTTTTTTTCTATAGAAAAAAAACTCAGTATAATGAGGTTTCTTTCTATAAAGCGGTGAATATTTCTATATCCTAATACTAGGCTGATGTGGATTTTTCTATTGAAAAAAATCACTCAGCCCCAGGCTGAGCTGAGGTTGAAAAACATAACCCAGCCCCTCAAAATACCAAAATTTGGGAAATATTGCTAGATGGGGACAATTCCAAAACGTGGATCAACATTGATAACCGTTATATGGGGGATACTCAAAAAAGTCGACCATTATTTTTAGTTTTTGGTAGGAAATCTGAACCGATTCACGAAACTTAGCACTCATCATTCTAGTCTCAATTCAGTAGGCTATGGCAAATTTCGTGCAAATCGGAAGATATATAGGGTCTTTGGTGCACCATTTACATAAAATCGGACGAAAATATATATGGGAGCTATATCTAAATCTGAACCGATTTCCACGAATCTTAGCACACATCATTCTAGACTCAATTCAGTACGCGATGCCAAATTTCGTACAAATCGAAAGATATAAGGGGACTTTAGTGCACTATTTACCTAAAATCGGACGAAAATATATATGGTAGCTATATCTAAATCTGAACCGATTTTCACGAAACTTAACACACATCACTATAGACTTCATTCAGTACGCTATGCCAAATTTCGAGCAAATCGAAGAAAATAAAGGGACTTTGGTGCACTATTTACATAAAATAGGACGAAAATATATGTGGGAACTATATTCAAATTTGAACCGATTTTCACGAATCTTAGCACACATCATTCTAGACTCAATTCAGTACGCTATGCCAAATTTCATAGAAATCGAAAGATATATAGGGACTTTGGTGAACCATTTACATTAAATCGGTCGAAAATATATATGGGAGATATATCTAAATCTGAACTGATTTTCACGAATATTAGCACACATCATGCTAACAATAATTCAGTATGCTATGCAAAATTTCGTACAAATCGAAAAATATATAGAGACTTTGGTACACCATTTACCTAAAATCGTATGAAATATATATGGGAGCTATATCGAAATCTAAACCGATTTTGACGAAATTTAACATACATCATTATAGACTCAATTCAGTTCGCAACGACTTAGCACAAATCATTCTAGACTTAATTCAGTCAGCTATGCCAAATGTCGTGAAAATCGAAAGAAATACTGGGTCTTTAGTATACTATTTACCTAAAATCGGACGAAAATATATATGGGAGCTATATCTAAATCTGAACCGATTTTTAAATCTGAAAACGAATTTAATACACATCATTCTAGCCTTAATTCAGAATGCTATGCAAAATTTCGTGCAAATCGAAAGATATACAGGAACTTTAGTACACTATTTACCTAAAATCCGACGAAAATATATATGGGTGCTATATGGAAATCTGAACCGATATTTCTCAATTTCAATAAGGTTCGTCCTTAGGCTAAATAAATGAGCTGTGTCAAATTTTATCAAATTCGAATAAAAAATGCGATCTGTACTTTGTTTACATTTTAACATTGACAGACAGACGGACGGACATGCATAAATCGACTTAAAACATGTTTCTATACATATTCTAAAAAGGAACCATGTGTCTATGTCGTTTCCTTTTGCCTTTTACCAACATATGTATATGAGGGTATAAAAACCCTCAGATCTATTTTTCTATATAGAAAATTAATCGTCAGTTCAAGTTGAAGAGAAGTGGATTTTCTGGAAAAGGTCAGCCTAGCTGTCTTGAATTTTTCTAATCGAAACATAGGGCATTCTAACTGAGGGAGATTTTTATATGGAAAATAATTCTTCATTCCCAGCTATGGAGGATATTTGCCATTGGATGCATATTATTTGTTATTCAAACTCGTGGAGATTATTAGGGCTGCTGGGTAATTTGTAATTATATTTTAATAACACACAAATGATCAGAAATTCCATAATTTTTTTTTCAAATGGAATCTCATCTTAGATATTTTTTGTTTACGTCAAGTTGTTCTAGCCATGTTATTAGATAATTTCCAAATTGCTGTTTTTTTTTTTTTTTTTTTTTGAAAATAATTTTAAAACAAGTTTTTGTTTTGTAGCTTCAAACACCTATAGAGATAATTAATGTTGAAGACTTGTTATTTTCAAGTTCAAAATTTTATTTGGGGAGAAAATGAATGTCGTTGTTGTAAACGAGTTCTGGATTCATTCTTATGTTTTAAAAATACTAAAATAATTATATTCGAACATCTATTGTTGTATTTGGCTTGTGTTGCGAGAACTAAACCTGATTGTGGTTATCATGTATTTGTTAATTCATCATTAGGGTCTGAATAAGATGGGTTTTTGTTTTGCGTTCGGTAGGTTTCTGCGTAGGTTGAAGGGAATGGAAACATCACCTAAATTAGCATTTGAATTGTTTTAAGTGTCAACTTCTAGGTTATGTTCTCAAATTTATATATTTTTTATGGATGTGTAAATAAGTTTTTTCCGGTTTCAAAATCGATTAATTAACATGGCATATTCTTGTAAATATGGTTTAACAATGTTCATAAATTTTTTTAAATACATGGTTCTAAAGTCGTCGACCCCCAGCATCTGAAAGTCATCGAGTCGTCAACAGAAAATTGACTTCATTGTAATTTTCATTATTTCTTCGTGTATTGTGAAATCAGCTGGGAAAATAAAAGCTAGGCTAATATTTGCGCTTCGCATGTAAATTTTTTTTTTGTTACTTTCATTTTTCTCCTACACAAAGAAGTCCAATCTATATGGCGGCATCGCAAATCATTACTTATCTTGAAACGGAAAATCGTCATCGTCATCTTGGTCAACAACAAATTCTATAAAGATGATGATAAGATTAAAAAATCCAATATTTTTTTGCAATCAATATTTATGTAGGGGGATTAAATTGTTGTATCTATCTATGTAGGTTCATAACCCTAAATGTCAGATTAGACAAGGAAATATATAGCAAAAGAGTATTTTTTGTGAAAATTCACGTGTATGTGAGGAATTTTTTTCTTTGCAAGAAAGTCTCCATTTAATCACTTTTTAATAGTGTTGTTTTCTATAGAAAAATAGACCTTAGCTAGGGCAGAGGATTTTGTTTTCTAAAGAAAAATACACTTCAGCTAGGGCTGAGGAATTTTTTTCTATAGAGAAAAATACACTACATGTCACTTTATTGTCCCAAGGACGAACCCTATTGAAATTTGAGATAATCGGTTCAAATTTAGATATAGCTCCCATATATAGTTTAGTCCGATTTCAGGTAAATGGTACACCAAAATGAAAATTTTTGCCCGATTGGGACAAAAATTTGCACAGCGTACTGAATTCAGTCCACTTTGACATCTGTGAAGCTTTGTTCAAATCCGTACAGATGTAAATATAGCTCCCATATATATTTTTGTCCGATTTTACATAAATGTTGCGCCAAACTCCCAATATTGGTCCGATTTAGACAAAATTTTGCAGAGCATACTGAAATAAGTCCAGTTTGATGTGTTTGAAGTTTTGTTGAAATGGGTTCAGATTT